TGATTAAACATGATCAGCTCATTCCACATGCTCTCTTAACAATTTAGTCCTCGTACACTAGTCCCAATAACTATGCTGATTTTTTTTAAGACATCAAAAGTTGCATGGAACAGGAATTATAAATAAGTCATTCACACCCCTATCATTATCCTTCAGTTACTATTACGTCAGAATTAACATAAAATGGGAGCTTCAAATATATGTAGATAATCTTCACTTTGTTTCAGCTGTGATATACTTATGTTACTAATACATTGTGTTCTTTTAACTGATTTGTTTGTTTGTTTGAGTATAAAGCTATCTCTGCTATACCCACCACAGGTATCAAAACCTGGTTTTAGGCATTATAAGACTTCAGACTTATTAAAAGGATAGACCCCCCTCCAGAAATCAGCAGTATCTTCTCATGTTTTTAAGGTATTATCTACAATCGTATGTTGTTTATATTTACCGTAACAATGATACAACATTCTGTCTTGTATCAAGATGTACAATAATGCAAGGTTGCTAAAATCTCACACCACTTTTAAACAAGAATATTACACAATAAACGTGGCTGATGTACAACAAAATAATGGTTTGATCCCTGATTGGTGTGGAATTAAGTCCAAAGTGTTACAAAATAAATCTTGTTTATAAGGACAGATGACAACACAGTTATATTTACTGTGAATATTGTATTTAATACAAATACTTTATACTTCTTGTTAACAGCATGCTGTGATGAAAGTTTCAACTTCATGTCAAGTACACAGCATCGTGACTTAACTAAAAAGTTGATAACTTGGAAGATTAAATCTTAAAAGGTTAAACCTGTGATTAATATTAGGTCATCAAGAAATTAATGTCGCTTTTGTTAGATGAAAAAAACCCAAACAATTTATATATCAAAACAAAACATTTATTAAATGAAATAGTCTCCATACTTATCGATGATGGAGTGAACAAAAAAGATGGTAATCTGATGGTGCCATATCTGGAGAATATGGTGGGTGGGGGAGAACTTCCCAACCCAACTCCATAATCTTGTGTTGCATCAAACATGCCACATGTGGACGTGCATTGTCGTGGAGAAGAACACCTTTCCAATTGACTAGTGAAGGACGTTTCTGATGAAGGGCTTGATTTAAATGCAGTTGCTGACTATAGGTCTCTGCA